GTGCACAAGCTTCAAACTTCAGCGTTGGCTGTGATTTTGAAGCTGAAATCGCGTTCGGTGTGAACGCAGCATTAGTGTTTCTTAAAGCCAGAAAGTTGCCATTTGAAATGACTTTAGTTTTGTGTCATGTCTGTGATGTGCTTTTTTTATACAAAATTAAACAATTGAATGAACAGCCTCCGAGGCCGCTGATTCCATCATTTTTGCCAGGGGTAGTAGATGCCTTAAAGACTAACCTAATTAAAAAAAAAACTAAAACATGTTGTTCTTTAGGTTCCAGTCTTCAAAGTAGAACTGATCGTCAGGTTAATCAGTGACAAATGTTAGATCCCACAGTTTGTGGCCTGTTGATGGCATTTTAATATAGTCTGTTTAAATTAGACACACAGTTACTGGATAGTTGAATGTTTTATAAAATAGAAAGTTCAAACACTTCCCATTAATAGCCCCTCACTTCACAATAATATGTGGTTCAACACACCATTAAGCATTTAAAAGAATTAGCCAAGTTTAAAAGATCTCCATTTAAGAGCATTTGTTATACGYATCAGATGTGGTAGGACGGTGGTCAGTGCCAGGGTCTCATAATCCACAGGTTGCAGGTTCCAGCCCAGGTTGGATCAGGAAGAGCAGCTGTTATAAAACACTTGCCGGATGTTCTTATGAGAGTTTGCTCTCTGTGGCYACTCCTACAACAGGAAGCAGCTGGTGGGAAACATCATATGAAACTTGTTATCCACACTTTAGAGAGGACTTGTGCAGTGTGACCACTACGTGGAAATGGAGTTCTAAAGCGTTGCTTTTCTTCTTGCAGGTCTTGCAATCTGTCATTATTTTTTTAAGCTTTTGAGGCACAGAATCAGTAAAACTTTGATCACAATTGTGTTTATTGTAAATCATTGTACTTTAATGCTGAAAATGACCCAAAAATAGGCCTAAAATTCACAAAAGTATGAAAATTTCCAATGGAAACTGCAAATGGACACAAAAAAATTATAATTTCTGAAAAATGAATTCCCTACTTCCACTCACATCATGGGACCAAACTTAAAAAAAGCCTGTTCCTGCTGTGTGGACAAAGGCTTTCCTGTGAGAGAGAAGAATCACGTTTGTTGAAACATGACACAAGATGCAGCCACAGCTGCTTCTTATCATATGACTGAACGAGAGAGGAGGGTCAGTCTGACACGTGTGATGCTGAAGGAAAAGAAAAGCTGGAATTTTACCACTTTTAGCTCCTGGTTTGGGTTGTTGTCATGTTTAAGGGGAGGGTTTCCAACAAGTTTGTTTTCTGTTAGTGTTTGTATTAATAKATAAAATCCTCATCTTTTTATCTTTACAGTTTCACAAGCCAGACCTCCACCAAATCAGAAGAAAGGTACAAAACTGTTGTGAATGATCTTAATATAATACAGCACAACTTTATAGAATGTTGTTTCATTGTCCCGATTCTTTCTGAAGATTTGAATCTTTTTGTTTTCAGGYTCCCGTACCCCCATCATCATCATCCCCGCTGCCACCACCTCGCTCATCACAATGCTCAATGCAAAGGATCTTCTGCAGGATCTAAAGTAAACAAAGTCTCAGAAACTACTGTATTTATTCAAGTATAATACGTAAAATTAAATCCATAAAATCATCCATAAAGTTGGGGGGTAGTACTATACTCGGATAAATATTTTTACTTGTGTATTTTAAACTGAAATATCGGCTTCATTCACAAAACGCCCGAGTCCGGAAATGCGACCGCGTCATAAAAAGCAGCTGAAGCGAGCTTATCTCTGACACTCCTCCGTGCTTCAGAGCGAGAAAACAGATCCAGGCAGGCGACATGATGTGAAAAAAAGAGAAAAAAGGGCAGTCCTGCAGCTTAGTAATGATAGCGAACTAATGACGTTAGCGTGTGACCGAGCCACTCCTGGAACACCAACAAACACATGTTCGTCTGTAATGGCTGCCATCTACCGGTGATCTGAAAAGGTTTGTATCCCTGACAAACGTTTCCCCACCAGAGGGGCCGCTCGCGAGTAGGAAGTAATCTGCTTTTCCCCCACAAGATGGCRCAAATCTCATGTGAAGTCTCTGACTTTTGTGTTGGCGCCTCCTGGTGGACTATGTGTAAAATGCCAGAATTCATATGATG